GTCAGAATATCCCCTCCTGGGCATAGAGACTCAATCACCCGCTGGCTTTCCGGAGAGAGAGCACTGTAGAAGTTCCCCACTGTGAATGCATCACTAAAGCCATGATGGGGACACTGCCAGAAAATCCCATGTACCGCTCCCATGCATCACGAAGTGACTCATCTGGCTTGGCGGAAGTGAGTGATCTCCCGCTGGATCTCTGTGGTCTTCGATGCCGGATAGTACCTGTGTACGAACTTATCATCCAGATCGTCCCAAGAAGTGATGGACAAGGGGGGCTGGGTCTCCAACCACCTCTTAGCATTCCCCGTCAGAGAATGGGGGAAGAGGTGAAGGCGGATTGCATCATCAGGGACATCGTTTCAGCTTGAACCCGTTCGTTAGCTGTAGGAAACGGGACAGGTGCACCCTTGCCTCCACATCCTTCAAGCCATGAAACTGGACAGAGGATGTAATGAGTTGAATCCAGCATGGCTTGATCTCGAAGTTGTTCGCTGGAATAGGCGGGTAGAGGATGACAGGGCGGATATCAGCAACCCGTGGAGTGTAGTAGTACTCCAAGGTGGGACCCGGCGGTGGTGGATGATGATGAACCCATCTGCCTGGGGTATGGGGTTGTTCCCCAAGATCTGATTCACCGGGGGAACCTGGTGAGGATTCCCCTGGTGTGGATTGTGATCTCCTTCCATCTCATACTCGTCTCGAACTGGCTACTCAAATGGTCGTCTATGCGCTCCTCCGTAGCCAGTCTAGCTCGTTGTTGTCTCCTAAGTTGGCGACAAGTGCGTTCAAGCTCCGGATCCAACGGCAGTAGACCTCCCGACTTCCTACGGGTCATGCACTATCTGCACACAGGCAAGCAGCAAACCCGTGAAGGCACAAGTGGGAAAGAACAAACAGTCAATGCAAAATGAAAATGCTAAAGTAACAGAAATCACTTTTCTTCAACAACCTAGCCGTCCCCGGCAACGGCGCCAAAAACTTGACTCACTCCTACTCTCACTCTAGAAATTGGCCAAGTGTAACCACTTCCTAAAGCGTAGTATAGCGGGTTTGGGTTTTAATGTCAACCGGGTCCTAGATTTGATGACTACTCAGTGAATTCTTATTATCTAGCAGTGAAACTTTAGTACAAGTCCAAATTAACAAACAAACAAAGCAAGTTAAACATTTTTTCAAGTCGAGAGAGGTCACACGGATATGGTTCCCCCTAGACTGCAGTTAAGCTGGATTGCAATTTACCAAGTTTAGTTTTCACGATAGTTATACTGCGGAAAGTTCTTAAACAGTCTGAAGTCTAGACTAAAGGTCTCCAGACCCTCTCAATCTGAGTCTCCAGAGGGCGACTAACCTCCACCAGAGTAAACAGATTGAAGCCCTAATGAACCAAACCTCCACTACCGAAGTAAATTCGGTACAGAATAGTGAATTGGCTCCTCGACTAAAGTCGCCAATCCACTACCTTCAATTAAGGGTGCTCTATCAACCTAGGCAGATATTCTCTATCTAGGTTAAAGCAGAAACGACAGGAATTTGATCATGATTCAAGTCATTCAATCATTCAAGCCTCAATCGAATATAATCAAATCATAAAATCTGTACTTGGGTTCATACAATCAAACCTAACATACAAATCTAGGGTTCTCCATACCCAGATGAATGAGAAAACTACTCCATGGAGAAAGAAGCAAAAGCAAATTCAGATGCGGAAATCATACTGTGAAGGATGAGTTTCTGCTCCTGGTCGTCGATCGGCACTTCTCCAAGCTCAAGCCGGGCTCCAATGGTGATGAAGATCAAGCTATAGCACTTGGGAACTCTGTTCGTCGCTTTCTCTCTAGGAATCGCTCTGTTTCTCTAAAACTCGGAACACTTGATTTTTAGCCTTCTTTTCCTTTAAAAAGTTGCCTGTCGCGATACCCGGTCGAAATACCCGGTCGGGTATTTTGGGTCTCGACGGGTATAATTGAAACGCGCGTTTTGGGAGCAGAGGAAAATCCTGGTCTGGCCTAAGAATCCCGACCGGGGATTTTAGCTTCCTGCCCGGGCCCTCTTCTGTTTCTCACGGACGCCCAAAGTATCTGATCCCCGGTCATGGCCAGATAATACCCGACCGGGTATTACTGCTCATGGCCGGGTATTTTAGCTCTCTAGCACACTTCAAACCTCACTTGCTCCTTTCGACGCGAATTTCGTTCCTTCGCCTCGATTCCAACGCCGGGCCCTGAAATATGACATAAACGCACAACCTCGCATGAAATCGGCTTAAAACACGAGAATCAACCTCTCAAACGGCTCAAGAATAGGGGTAAAAACAGGTGTAATTATTGGTCTATCAATACTTGGCATTTCCTCAATGGTGGCAAGCGATCCGTCACATCAATGCTCCCCTTGGTTGGTACTTTCACCCCCAAAACACTGTGGATGAAATACTGCCAACCGGTCATACCGTCACGATCCTCGGGGGGATGATCACTCACACACACCGCTTTACCGTCGATGGGCAGATAAGTTAGGATGGCGACGTCCTTGAGTGTTATGGTGCACTCTCCTTCGCGAAAGTTGAAACAATGTGTCTCCTTTCTCCATCTCTCCACCAATGCGGTGATGAGTTGGCGATCGACTTTATGCCTACAAAATGCCTAATAGACTCCAATCGTGCCCTTTGAGATAAGGCAAGATAACTGGGTTCCGTGGGAGCACATTGGTCGTACCCCTGTAGTGGAGTATTGTTGTGCCTCCTAGCAAAAATTTCAACGGTATTATGATATATTAGTAACAGTATAGTCTTATAACTAAATAAATTAAAATTAATGATTTAATTTCGACCATTATTAAAAGGTTAATATTTTTGTATGGCCTCAACTTGACTAAAAAAAACATCCTGGCCAATCTTTCGATCTATAACATCCTGGCCCGAACTATACACCAAAATAAACAATTTGGCCAAACCCGATGTTTGACCGTTAACTTGGACGGTCAAACGCATTGACTAACGGTCAACTCGCCACGTCACTGCCAAGTCAGAAGATCTGATAAATATTTAATTGTTTTCGTTTTTATTTTTGGTTTAACTAAGGTATTAGATGTTTTTTTTAATTTTAATAATTTAAAATTAGGGAATGTGTGGAAATTGTGAATTATTTTAAATATTTATGCTGACTTGGCAGCAGTGACATGGCGCGTTGACTAACGGTCAACGCGTTTGACCGTCCAAGTTAACGGTCAAAAGTCGGATCTGGCCAAATTGTTTATTTTGGTGTATAGTTCGGGCCAGGATGTTATAGATCGAAAAGATTGGCCAAGATGTTATTTTGGTCAAAGTTCAGGCCATACAAAAATATTAACCCTTATTAAAACCCTAAGTGTTTAATATGAATTAGGAGGTTGGCCCTCAAATTAACCTAGACTAGGAGGCATAGAATCCCCAAGAAACCCATCTCTAGAAGAGCCTCTTAAGTTAAGGGGGTTTCTCTCTAAACTAGGTTATAATGGCAATAGATTGATAGGCTTTCACACAACACAATCATTTCTTAGTAATACCTCCACATTCACATTAAAACACATCCACACACAAATCATTCAATTCATACAAGCATTCACATTATTTTAGCTAGGCTTTACAAACACCCAAGTGAAATAAGGGACTACTCCATGCTAGGAGAAGGGAAAACACAAGAGAGCGGAAGGAAAACCATCATGAAGAGGCAAGTCTGGCTCCTTGTGCTGAAGAAAACTCAAATCCTTGCTTGGAGATCAAACCCTAGCTTTTCTCTTCTTTGGTTCGTCACTTTCTCACTCTAAATCTGAAGAAGGAGAAGTTTTCTCACTCTAGATCTCTCTCCATTCTTCCTTTCAGCTCCACACTTAAACCCAGATCGAGCTCAGTTCACGGCCTTCCAGTTCACCGCCATGAACACCTAAACGCGTCTGTGAACTCAGTGTCGTCTCCAAAACGCACCGCTTCAGTCTCCAGGGTTCACGGTTTGCAATCCAAGTTCACGGTCTTAGAGACCGTGAACTGCCTTGTTGTCAGTAACCTCTGGAACCCTCCTGGACACCTCGTGGTCACAGTTTGTGTTTCCATTTCACGGCCGTAGACGCCGTGAACTCCAATGCCAGGTCGTGATTTGCAGCTGATTCCTCCTCTTTGCCGGGTCTTCGCTCCCTTTCTTCCAACTTTCGACTCGGGGATGGTTTCACCTGTTAGGATCTGAAAACACACTGAAACACGCAAAACCTAGCGTAAAAACAACCTTTTAGGAGTCAAATGTCACAAACGTCAAGTGGAAGCGGGGGGTAAAAAGTGTCCAATTAACCGAATCACCGAACATCTTGATTTTTTTTTCATTTTGCATAACTTTTTAAGGACTACAATTTTTATAGGAATGAATTTTAAAAAAAGGAATAGTTTTGGATATACGGGGTTTGGGAATAACTTACCTTCCCTTTTCACAAATCCACGTACATTCCGAGGTTATGTCTATGAAAAAGTTGCAGTCCTTAATAAGTTATGCGAAATGGAAAAAAAAAATTCATGACGTTCAGATTTTGGAGCACAAAGTTATGGTTATCCAAAGTTTGACGAAATTGGAAAAAAAGCTCGTTCAGTATAGCAAACGACATTTTTTCGGGACGAAGGGGGGACCAAATCGCCTAGGGCGTTTGCGGCTTGCAAGATCTCGAAAAAGTATGCGAAATAAAAAAAAATTCGCTACAATCGGATACCCAAAAAAAAGAGATACGTTCGTATGAAGTTTCCACCTAGGTTAAAATTTTTCAAAAAAAAAAAAGACCAAACCACTGGGTTGGGCAGCAATTTTGGCCCAAACCGGTCCGACCGCATGCGGTCATGAAAACCGCCCTTACCGTGCGGTTTTCATTGAAAATCGTGTGCTCACCCTGCGGTTTCGTGTAAACCATAGTCGGGTGGCAGTTTTCGGGAAATGGTGCTATTTTTGGAATATTTAGGGGTCAGGTGCTATTTTGGAAAAAAAATTAAAACAGTGTTATTTCTGGAAAAAAATCTCTAATCTGGATGGTCGGTACCTTGTTATTGAGAGCTGAAAGTGGTGTCTGAAGCTCATCAGGCCTGCTATTCCCAGAAGATCCAAAGGAAAACGAAGTGTTCTGAGCAGTTTTGGCTGCTTGCTAGTGTTCTTCTGGCACACTAGTCTAATGTTGGGCTGTCTTACATTGTTATCACCAATAATACTCTGCCCAAAACTTTGCTGACTTTACAAACAACTCTGACAAACTCGATCTAATCTAAGTTAATCACAGAATCCAAAATAGAATCAACGTCGAAAGACACGACAGCATGTTTTTCAATCTCCCCAACTTCACTACACTGTTTTGCCTCCGTGTGACAGCCATGACTTGCTGATGGAATGTGCAATCTGACCCTTGGGCAACCTGCAGAATGGGTTCATCAGCATATATTACCAGTGAGCTCAAACGTGAACACAGTGGATATAGTGCACGAAAAGGGCTGCAAATTGCAATAGAGAACAATTACATCATACAGAACGTCTCCTATCTTCAACTTGACAGCTCCACTCTTGTAGACCACCATTTGCCCATGTATCCCTCAGGCAGCTGCGATAGACAGTTGGAGCACTGTGATGGATCGAGCTGCTGCTGCTTCCAACCCTTTCTTTCCTTTTGCGCTGATAATTGACCGGTTAATGTAGGGCATCTTGGGAGGGAACTTGAAGAGAAGCATCTTTGCTTCATCAGATTTCTCCTGTCATCATCATTTCCACAGCAATGAATCCACAAATCTGACGAAAAACACTACTTCGATCGGCAATGATAGTCACATTCATATCAGCCTTACCAACAAACCAAGTTCTGAAGCATGTTTGATGAAGTTCTCATCATACTCCTCGTTCATTGCATCCTTCCCAACTCTTCCTCGTTCAGAACATCTGGCAACACAGTAGCAGCAAAACTAACTAAAGCTGTAGCAGAAACAGATCGAGTCCGGAACTTCTTTGACAAATAATAATCAAACATGTATATATACCAGGGTCACCAGAGAAAGGCTGCCTCAGGGGAAGGGTAATAGGATAGTAACTCTCATAGTCCTGCATTAGCAGCAACTTCAGCAAGGTCTGAATTTTTCATAAAAAGAGACCAAAACACAGAACAAGAAACATTGAATTTTCCTTCTACAAATGGCTCTTTATATTTCTTCTGGTTCGTTGCCCGATTAAGATCAATAGCACCGTGACCTGCTCCTTCATCCTTACCATCGATTTGCATAGCATCAGGATCCGAATCCCACCCGCTGCTGATGCCTGACATGGCTAGCCTCCGCCTTAGGGTAAACCAAATTCCTAATCGATAGCGACGGTGAGGCTCCAGAACCAAATGCCACTTCAACTGGAGCAGCTGCATATATAATAGCAACACACGATCATACTAGACCACAGAAATCTCCTGCAGAAGTCGGAACATTTAGCTAAAAGATGAGAACTTTAACTACCTTTGTGTCAGCTATCGTAGCCTGTCTTTTGAGATTCTCCTGCAACAATGTAAAAACCATAACTTGAGAGTGGATCTAGTCAGGGTAGGGATTCACTGGTTCTTCTACTTGGTAGTCGCAATTTGGACCAAATATCATGATCTTTTGGCTAAAGATTGGAACTTTACTATAATTGCTTTCATTCATCGTATTCCGTGTTTGGCAGCAAACGAGTAGTTTACTAATATCCCTACTAATGAATTGGTATTTGGTAGCATCAGCCATTCAGCTCTTCTAGTAAAGATTAAGGATGAAACAAACGCGGTTTTAAGTCCAACCGAATGTCAACAGAAATTAACAGCCAAAGATTATGAGATTTCACAGACTGAGAAAGGACTTGGGATTTGGTAGACGGCTTACGTTGAATCTGGTCATCAGCTTCTGAGCTTTCGCAGCTTCGTTCGTTGCTGCCATCGTCGCTTGTCTTGCTGCATTTCGGCAAAAGAAAAGAAGGACATCGGAAAATGGAAAATCAGACATTTGAACACTGGAAATTCAGATTACCTGTAGTGAGGAGGGAAGAAAAGAAGTGGGGATTACGGTTTGGGGGCGGCGAGGCGGGGCTTCCTCTGGGAAGCGGACTTGGGGCGAACTTCAGCTGCCGGAGGAAATGGAAGTGATAGAGTAAGAAATTTCAGATCTAAGAAACCCCTTCTTGATAACTCGAGAGTTTCTTTCCGGTGGGTATTGAGAAATTTGATGGCAGAGTTGGCGGTAGCTTACCTTCCTGCGATTGGCCGGAGGGTCGTCGTGATCCATGGCTAGCCAAAATTCAGTCGAAGACGAAAGAGGACGATCGACGGCGGGGGAAAAATGGCAAAAATTGGAACGGCTGGAATCGAACTCGCGTCCTCTCCATAGAGGAAAACAGTTTCGCCATCGGAGCTATATTAGCCACTTTGTCTAACCCTAGCCCGTTAATTTACTTATATGCAATGCAAATACCAAACAATTTTTTTTAATCGCCATCAGTATATTTTTGGGTAGAAAGACTAGCGAGACCCTAGTGTATAATATTAACTAGACAGGATAATCATATTTATGTTTCACACCAACTTCGACAGTACTTCAGCTATAATAACAACTAAAATTGTTGCCGCGCTTTGCTGCGGTTAGGAGTTAAACTTCAGCCCGTCGATTCGTTTATAGGTAGTTGGATTAAAAAATAATTATCTTGTGGTTTATTTTTCGTGATTTTATCTCTTTTCTAATACTTAATTTGTATGAAATTTGTTAAAATATAATTAAAAATATTACTTCCATAATTTAAATATACATACAAAAATTAGACCTATTTGTAGAGTTTCAAAAGTTTAGATACCAAAATGTAATACACAAAATATTAAGTACTAAAATATAATGTGTCATCAAATATTTGAGAATTTATACGCCAAATAAATAAATTTAGGTTATAAATCTAAGATCTATTGAGTTTAGGTACATAACTATAATTGCATAGTTGAGACTTATTTCTTTTATGGTGATGTATTTAAGATGAAATTATTACTTTTCTATAGGAAAATGGAAACTATTTATTTGATATGTGTAGATACTTAACCAAGCATTCATGTATAATTGTTGAAAATTATAGCCCGGGTGAAAAAAGAAAAACTCTAGAGCGAAGCAAAAGGAATACAAACTGGAAACTCGCTTAAAATTTCACGCCTTCAAATCCCATAGTAGAAAATGATGACTTTCTAATAAGTAATGACTTACTAATTAGGGTTAAACGAAGACGACAAATAAAAAAATAAGAAAAGGGTTATGGAAGGCAAGTGAAAATGAAACGAAGAGAAAGTAGACGATGGAAAGATTTGATCAATTCTTTTGGTTGGTCGTTAATACAACAGTTAACCCTTTTCACCGTTAATGTTGCATAACAAATTACAACTTAGTCACTTTTTATATTCTACATTTTGATACACCAAATTTAATTTTAATGTAAAATCATTGAACAATTATGTTTGGTATGTAAATTTTATGAGATTTCCATACCTACAATTTTTAAAATTTACATATTGGTCCATGTTTAGATTTCACTTACATATTGGTCCAATATTAGATTTCACTTGAATTCATGAATCCAATCCACCAATCCTTTTGAAAAAATCCATGAATCCAATCCACCATAACATAAAAGTATAAATTTAGTTGTGTACATACAAGATGTTGTATCGCTCAACTGTACGAGATGATTTGACCATTTTATATTTGCTCATTACGTGAAATATTAAATAAATGATAAAAGAGAGACAACTCTAAAATATTGCAAGAGCGAATTTGTAAACTCATTAGTACATTTACGGGGGTACTTGGCTAGTCGGAGATGCAGCCCTTGGCCCTTTCACTTGCCTCCATCGTCTACTTGGCTAGTCGGAGATGCAGCCCTTGGCGTGGATCGGTTGGGAGAGATTGAAGACAGTGGTATTCTAACTCTCTGTATCTTCTGCCGACAGTGCGATTGTTCTGTTTCCCTTGGCGTGGCGGTGGGTTGCTGGCGGTGGTCGGCTCGGGGTGTGCTGGTCGGAGGTGTTTTCCTCCTCCTCTCGTCTTCTGGGTTTGTTGAGGTCCTGGCCGCGATGTGCTCTTCGATGGGTTGGTGGCGCGCGGTGCTGTGGGGGTTCTCGGCCGCGGTGGTGGAGGTTGACAGAGAGGGCGCGACAGCTAGGGTTTGGGGGGCTCAGCCTTTGTTTTGGCCATGGGCCTGGGGCCCTATTGGGTGTTTGGGTTTT